AATCGTGGAGCCGGAAACAACCAACTTGCCGCCCCCCCAAAAAAAAAGAGTTTACGAATTTTTGCAGAGAGTAGACTTAAAAAATTTATTAATATTTTCTTCTGCCACTCTCCTGACACTGAAAATTGTGACTGTCATGCGAAAAATGATGATAAACTTTTCGCAGTGGACTTGCACTGCTGATTGCACGTACCTGCGTCGCCCCTTACCGAACGGCATGAGAAATCGCCGTGTCAGAATACGGTCCGGGCGGCCAGGCCGGCCACACGTCCCACGGTGACCGCAGAGCAGAGAGTCGTTCTCGTCGCTCTGTCTCTCTCGCACCCTCACGGGAAGCCCCGTGAGTGCGAGAGAGAGAGACACACTCGCGGAATCAGAGTCGCTGACGCTGCGCTTTTTCCCATACCGCATTTTGCATCGGCGGAAGCGGCAAGAACTACTCGGGTTGACTCCGCCATTCTCGCCTCGTTGGCCAACTGTTGTTGTTGTTGTTGTTGTTTGTTATTGCACGGGGCGATTCGTATGGCGGCTTCATTGTGCAACTCGTTTACCCGATATCTGCTCGCTGTGCTGGCGCCGCTCGAGTTCTTATTCGGTATCCGCCCCGCCATCGCCTATTAAGACGGCCCTGCACAGTGGGCCAGAAGGCCGGTGGAGGCGGCCGAAACTCTAGACGCGTTTTGAGCTCCAGAGTCGCTGAATGGGACTCGAACCGAACGTGTGACCCCACCAACGGCTTCCTCGCTCAAGGAGCAATCCATTGGTAGGGTCGCACGTCCGGTTCGAGTCATGTTTAGCGACTCTAGAGCTCAAAACGCGTCTAGAGTTCTGGCAGCCTCCACCTGTCTTCTGGCCCACTGTGCCCTGTCCTGCCGGACTGTAAACTTCGCAGGGGAAGAGTACGCACGGAGCAGGTGAACCTACCCTGAAAAAAAAAGAAAAACTTTCTTCTCTGCAACAACAAAACAATATTTTGACAGAAAAATCGGTAACAGTTCTGACTGCAGTGAATTTGAACCCGCGGCATGCGAATTAGCGAAGCAGCGCGCTAACCATTACGCTACGGCGCCCTGCTGTTGGGGTGGGGTGGCGCTAGGATTGCGTTCCGCGGGCAGGGAAAGTCCCTCGCCTCCGCCAATGAAGGCAATTTGACTGCCGGCTTGCGCCGCCTGAGCCACGCGTGAGGCGCCGCGCTTTTTGTGAAATGCTTCCTTACTGCAGCACTCCTAAACGCCTCCCGAGCGAGCACGCTTCCCCCAGGACCCACCGCGCACAGTGGGCCAGAAGATCGGTGGAGGCGGCCAAAACTCTAGACGCGTTTTGAGCTCCAGAGTCGCTAAATGGGACTCGAACCGAACGTGTGACCCCACCAACGGATTGCTCTCCGAACGAGGAATCCATTGGTGGGGTCACACGTTCGGTTCGAGTCCTCTTTAGCGACCCTGGAGCTCAAAACGCGTCAAGCGTGTCGTGTCCTGGGAAAGAGAGGAAAAGGCTCAAGGATAGCAGGAAAACCTCAGCCATTACTTGCTCTGCTGAGTTAGAATTGGCGGCGGCTTTGCAATTTGCCAGGGCAATGAAAGCCGCAAGGCGCGCAAGGCTCGCTCGCCAATCCAGTGACTCCGATGCCGGCGAGGCGACCGCTTTGTCTCTGAAAGCTCACTCGCCGTGCTCGCTCTGCGGCCGTGTCTCCGCCTTTACGACTGGCTGGCTCCCCGGTTCGAATACCAGCGTGTCTGGACGTTCGGAGGGACAGTGAGGTTCGACTCCTCGCGACCCCGTGCTCTGTTGGTGGGGGAAAATTTCCACGATGCACCAGTGTCGAAAGGGTTGCCAACCTCTGCTTGCCTGCTCGGCCATGTTGAGGCTTTGATGTGCGGAAATGCCCCAGTGGATTGGCAGACCTTTGGCTGGAACCCCTGCAAAGTCGAGGGTAGGCCAGCCTGCAACACTGCGCTGCGCGCACTCTGCTTGGTTGCCTACCCGGCGGGCGCCTGGCCCGCGAGAGCTGGAGGCGGACAGAACTCCAGACGCGTTTTGAGCTCCAAAGTCGCAAGATGGGACTCGGACCGAACGTGTGACCCCACCAATGGATTCCTCGTTCGGAGAGCAATCAATTGGTGGGGTCACACGTTCGGTTCGAGTCCCATTTAGCGACTCTGGAGCTCAAAACGCGTCTAGAGTTTTGTCCGCCTCCACCGGTCTTCTGGCCCACTGGGCGAGAGCGACAGGGAATCCTTGCGCATATTCCCGAGGCGGATAGCGACTTTTTCCTCGTTTCAGCCAGTGTGCCGCTTTGATCGCGCACTTGTTGCCTTGCATGTGACTCGGCTCGGCCATGGCTCGGCCAATCGCAGCATCGCTCTCGTCTCTCTGGCTTTCCAGCCTCGTGTGACACTTGCGCATTGATAATCACTTTCTCTGTCGCCGCCTCCCCTCTCGCTCGCAAGCACTGCGCGGTTTAATTTTTCCGACGCCTCTCTCTCTCTCTCTCTCTCTCTCTCTCTCTCTCTCTCTCTCTCTCTCTCTCTCTCTCTCTCTCTCTCTCTCCTTTGTCGGGGTCGCTGCCCGCGCTGACTGCATAGCTGCCGCTTAACTACCGGACAATAGAGCCATCAGGCAGCCATAGGAACCGCGCAAAAAACTGTTTAGGAAGGGGGAGACTGGGAGAGACGAGGAGACGGATAATGCGATGGTGTTTAGGATCGAAGACCTCGCCCTTTCACGACCGTGATGAAAAATGGGACGTTCTGACTAATGCGAAGTGTATACATCTACCCGGGAGGTGGCGAGAAAAAAGTCCTGTAAAGGCACTGGATTTTCCTTCCAGGCAATCATTAACCGGTTAACAGGTCCGGATAGCGGCCCGCAGTGGGCTAGCTGTGACGTAGTTAAAGCCGGCGGTGGAGTAATTGGAATAATGCTCATTGGCTAATGATGCACACATTGTTGGCACGGATTGTTCCCAGGCAGGCAGGCAGGCAGGCAGCCAGCCAGACAGCCAGGCAGAATTGCAATCGGTTTTTGACAGTGTAGAAGGTCTAGATCAAGAGAACGGTGCGGATGGCATCGACCCGTGGTCGCCACATCGTCTGTCCGCCGTCTAGTTTCTGTCCGTCCTGTCTGTCTGTCTGTCTGTCTGTCTGTCTGTCTGTCTGTCTGTCTGTCTGTCTGTCTGTCTGTCTGTCTGTCTGTCTGTCTGTCTGTCTGTCTGTCTGTCTGTTGTCTGTCTGTCTGTCTGCCGCGTACTTCCGTCCGACCGTCCGCCGGTCTGTCACTCGCACACTGCCAACACGGCACTTGGAAACAGGTCCCATCCCGACGGTCCTGACATGTCCGCGGCCAGACACTTTTGCGGACTAACTGTGCCAGCGCGCTGCAGCGGTCCGAAAGACGTCCGAAAGCGGTTCGCCTTGGCAGTGCAGTGGCGCCTTGCATCGCCTTGGCATTCGGGCTGCCCGGGCTGGCCGGCCACGGCACAGTGGGCCAGACGGCCGGTGGATGCGGCCAAAACTCTAGACGCGTTTTGAGCTCCAGAGTCGCTAAATGGGGCTCGAACCGAGCGTGTGACCCCACCAATCGATTGCTCTCCGAACGAGGAATCCATTGATGGGATCACACGTTCGGTTCGAGTCCCAATCAGCGACTCTGGAGCTCAAAACGCGTCTAGAGTTTTGGCCGCCTCCACCAGTCTTCTGGCCCACTGTGCTCGGACGGTAATGACTGCGGGCATAGTCTGCAAATGGAGATATAGAGAGGAAATGGCCGGCCAAACAGTGTGGCAAAAACACTCAAAACACACACGCCGTGCCACGCCGCGCACAGCGTGCAGAGATGCAGGGGCTACTTTGCGCGCTGCCCGTATGTGGCGGCTGCACCGTTTTTTTTTACTTCCAACCTTTTTTTTATCTCCTCCTCTCTCTGTCTCTTATTTGCCCCCGGAGCGAGGGCCGTGGAAAAGATAGAGCGCTCGCTCGGATGGGAAGGATGGATGCAGCAGCGCCTCTCTCTCTCTCTCTCTCTCTCTCTCTCTCTCTCTCTCTCTCTCTCTCTCTCTCTCTCCATCACCGCCACTCCGCGCCGCGGACGCTGCGTGCACTCTCCCTCCACGCTGTTAAAACTACCTCAAGCCGTTTTAGACGCCGAATTCGTCCAGTTCCAACGGGACTCGGCCGTTGAACACGGAACGACCTTCGGACTGTCAAACTTTGCTCACACACTAAATTACTATGTAGGTTTTTCTGCGCGCTAATGCACGAAATTGTACATGCACTTCCTAACGCACGAATTTGTGCGCGACAATGCACGATTTCCTGCATACTTGCGCACGAAATCGTGCATTATCGCGCACAAATTCGTGCGTTACGAAGTGCATGTACAATTTCGTGCATTAGCGCGCAGAAAAACCTACATAGTAATTTAGTGTGCACCTGCATGCCTGTCTGTCTGTCTGTCTGTCTGTCTGTCTGTCTGTCTGTCTGTCTGTCTTTCTGTCTGTCTGTCTGTCCGTCTGTCTGTCTGGCCGTCTGTCTTTCTGTCTGTCTGTCTGTCCGTCTGTCTGTCTGGCCGTCTGTCTGTATGTCTGTCCGTCTGTCTGTCTGCCTGTCTGGCCGCCCCGTTTAGAGCGGCGGTGCAGTAGAGAGCGCGCAGGCCGGTTTCCAGGGATGCGCACAGTCTCATGGCACGGACGACGACACGGCAATCCGACGGTCAGCGCACACACACTCACGCACACGCGCACACACTCACGCAACGCACGCACTCACGCACACACTCACGCACACACTCACGCACATATACTGTCGAAAAAATGCACTTTTCCTAAAAATGCCCTCCGAGGGGAGTTAGCGAGTATCCCGTTTACGAGAACGCGCGCAAAAAGAACGTACCTGGAAAGGGGGAAAACTTTGTTTGAAGCGAGTTGCTGAGAAACGGGGCCATTGTGGATCGTTTTTGGGTTGTTTTTTTTAACGGCAGTGTGTCTGTTTGTGTGCTTGCAGTGGCCCCACGCGCCCCATGCGCCCCTGCTGAGCGGCCGCCGGCGCGGCCTCTGCCCCGGCCCGGCCTCCGCCCCAAGGCCCTCGGGGCCAGCGGGGCACTGGAAGCGGCACTGGAAGGCACACTGGAAGCGACGCTGGAACCACGACACTGCTAGGCCGGTCCAGGGACGGTCCCGCCCCAAACATGGAGACCCTGAGCGTGTCCATCCCCCCTCCGCTGCCGCCGAAGACGAGAAAGAAGACCTCGTCCCCTTCGTGGTGCGGGTCGCAGCTGCAGCCACTGCAGCAGTTGTCTCCGTCGGCCGCCGCCGTGGCCGCCACCGCCACACTGCAGCAGCTCTTCCAGGAAAGCGGCCGCGACGTCGGCCAGCTGAAGCGGCGTCCGGAGGAGCCAGCGCGGCCCCCGCAGCCCCTGCCGGCCGGGCCGCCGACGGAGGCCGCGCCGGGCGCGCAGTGCGGCCACCACACTGCGCACAGCGCGCACGGCGCCGCGGACCGCGTGCACGTCGTGAGCATCCGCATTCGGCCCGAGGAGTCCCGCTCCGCCGACGGCTGCGTGCGGATCAGCGTTGGCGGCGCGCCGTCGCCGCCGCCCGCGGCCATGGTGGTGACCAGGAGCGCGTCGTCGGCGCCGTCCGGGCCGTCCGCCGACGCGGCCTTCTTGTTCTACAACGGCGTGGCCTCCACCACCAGCGGCCAGGCGTCCCCCGTGGACAGCGGCACCTGCAGCGACGACGCCGCGGACCGGCACGCCACGCCGCCGCCGCTGCCCAGGAAGACGACGAAGCGCGGCGCGGCGGCCACGGCGACGTGCGTGCGCGTCACCGTCAACGGCGAGAGCGACGAGGAGCGCAGCGACCGCGGCAGCAGCACCATGAGCTGCGACTCGCTCAACAGCCTGGACAAGGTGGCCTGCTTCCTGCTGGACGCCAACGCCGCCGCCAACGCCGTGCGCATCCCCGACGTGGCCAAGCTGTCCCTGGCCGCGTCCCCGGACACGTCCCTGGACAGCGCCGCGTCCTCCGCCGCCGACGGCGACGTCCTGGAGGCCGGCGACCACGAGCCCGTGGTGGTGCGGAGCATCCGCAAGGCCGCCAGGGCCGCCGTCGTGGACCAGCGGACGTACGAGGACCGACAGTGCACCAGCAGCGGCAGCAGCGGCGTCGCCACGCCGCCAGACCACTACTACGACTTCCACCTCAACGAGCGCGAGGACCACGACGGCGCCAACGGCCGCGACGACGAGGACACCTTCGCCGGCTGCAGGGACTACACCCTGGACGAGCCCGTCACCGTGCCCGCCACCATCCGCAGCTCCAAGGGCACGGTGCGCGGCGTGCGGAACCGCGTGCGCGCCGGCGTCGCCACCTTCCTCAGCATCCAGCACAACCGAGTGAGTTTACGCCTGTCTGCGTGGCCGAGCGCCTTCGGTGAATGCTCCCGGATGGTGCGTCCCGGGTTCGATCCCACCCTGGGGACGTCATTTTCTTCTGTGCCCCCTGCCCCCTGGCCGATGTGGATTTCGCAAGTGACGCGCGACGGAGACACTGCTAGTGCAACTGAAGTCACTTAGAGACCACTACGCTGCGGTTTGCGCTTAGGGTGCCGAACTCGGCAGGTCCTCGGAGTGCCCCCTGTCGCAAGCCGGCGATTGCCACCCGAGGACTGGCAAATAAATGTGCACATGCAACAGTGATTCCAGTAAAGGCCGTCTTGCCAAATTGGCGTTGCATTATGCTGCACTTTTTTGGTCGCTGTTGCCGAGCGACTCGTGATTCGCGGGGGGCCGTGACGGTGTGCTAGACAGAGACGACAATATCGCAACAAAAACAACAACAACAGTGTAGGGGAGGGAGGCGCGATAGGTAAATACTGCCCGTTTCCATGCCTTCGTCACGACCGCGGTTCATCATGAGCCTGTCCGGTCTCTGTCTCTCTCGCACCCCCAGGCCCTCCAGGGGCGCGCCTCGAGTGCGACAGAGACAGGGCGACAAGGCGGCTCTTCGGAAACGGCGTGAAGAGAGAGAAGCGCCGCGGCGCACAGTGGGCCAGAAGACCGGTGGAGTCGGACAAAACTCTAGACGCGTTTTGAGCTGCAGAGTCGCTGAATGGGCCTCGAACCGAACGTGTGACCCCACCAATGGATTGCTCTCCGAACGAGGAATCCATTGGTGGGGTCACACGTTCGGTTCGGGTCCTGTTTAGCGACTCTGGAGCTCAAAACGCGTCCGGGACTTAGACCGCCTCCGCCGGTCTTCTGGCCCACTGTGCGCCGCGGATCTTCGCGAGCGGGTACTTGGCGCGCAGTGCCGCGAAGAGAGAGAGAGAGAGACAGAAAATAAAAAAAAACGCGGCGTCTTTGTCGCACTGAGGAGGTGATGGGAGCTGGCGGTGTCTTTAGCCCTCCTGGCGCTGTGCAACTATCTTGCGGAACTAGTCCATCTCTCCGGAAGAACAGCCGAGCCGGCGAACCCGACGAGGCCAGGAGGGTTAACAATTCAGACTCGGCAAAGAAGTCAAAAAGTCAACAGACATTCCGCGGGACGGCAGAGGTTTAACCAAAATTTACAAATACGATTTTTTTTTGCACATTTATGTGTTTTTCTTAGCTGAAAAATTTACTGGTTGGGGTTTATTCAAAGGCAACACTTAGAATCTCGGAGTCCACGTCAAAGGACTACCCGAGCCCCACTTGCGGTAACTAGATTCTGCCTGATTGACAGCGAGGGTGGAATCGGGGCCAGCGACGCGGGGGTGGGGCGGGGCGGGGCGGGGCGGGGCTGCCCGTTAGCCGTCTGGACGCTACTCCTTCGTCGCCACATCCCGCCACTACAGCTCGCTGACGTGCATGACCGTCGCCAGAGCACTGCGCACAGTGGGCCAGAAGACCGGTGGAGGCGGTCAATACTCTAGACGCGTTTTGACCTACAGAGTTGCTAAATGGGACTCGAACCGAACGTGTGACCCCATCAATGGATTCCTCGTTCGGAGAGCAATCCATTGGTGGGGTCACACGTTTGGTGTGTTTTGTCCGCCTCCACCGGTCTTCTGGCCCACTGTGCTGCGCCTCGCCGAACCGCGAACGTGCTCTGGGCGGCCGCACGGCCGCGCGCTGCCGATGGCCAAGCCGCCCCACGGGACGCTACCACCGTCGCTGCCATCTCGGTCTGCCGCTCGACATGGCTTTGGGTAGTTTTACAGGGCCTCGGTTTTTTAGAGTGGACGCTCATTAATGTCGTTCGGCACCTCTGAGCCAACGCGCCGAAGCTGGCAGCCCATCCGGGTCGCGGCGAGCCGAGCGACGAGCCCAGGTGGCTGCCCCTGCCGGCCACGCTGGCTGAGATGAATCAATAAAGTGGACACCTCGCGGCTCGCGCAGCAAAGCCGTCGCCGCGGCCGGCCGCTAGTCGTCTTGTCGGCGCCCGTCCCCCTTTTTTGCCCTATTTCCGCTCCGCCTCGCCGGGCACGGCTGGCTGTGCTGGCACCGGCCCTCCTAATAAAGGGGAATGACACGAGCCGCGAAGAAAAAAATAAGACTCCGGGTGGTTTTGAACCGGGTACTTTAGGGTCGCCGTTCGGTGCCTGAGCCCACGCGGCCACGCGAGTGTTTACAAGCCGGCAAGGCCGCACCGCCGGGCCGGGACCGCCGGGCTCTCTCCGCCGGATTTAAAGCCGCCGCCGCCGCTACTTGCCGGTGAAATTTCCACGACCTGGGCGGACACGCCGCCAGGACGCCGACGACGACGGCGATACTGGTTCTGGCAGGCTGATTCCGAGAGTCGTCGCTCTGTCTCTCTCGCACTCACGGGGCGTCCCGCACAGGTGCGAGAGAGGCAGAGCGACGAAGACGACTCTCGGAATCAGCCTGCTGTGCACGTGCACGACGGGCCGCCCGAAGAAGCGGGTAACTGGCCCCGCCCCGGCCAGGGTTACCCGTCTCCCGGCTCAGCCGCTCCGCCTTACCCCGGTCGGGGTCCAACAGGTGGTAAATCTGAATGAATCCCGACCTGACCCCGCCAGCCGGCCATCCGGCACCGGCCGGCCCGCCCGCCTGCGAGTGCGAGAGAGACGGAGAGAGGGGCCGGGTCAAACCGCGGGTCAGCGCCGCGTAGCACCGCGGAGGACCGCCTAGCCCTGGCAGCCCTGGCAGCCATGGCGCATCCCGCGTGGGAAGCCAGGCCGTGCCACACTACCTAAAGCCGGCTGGAAACAAACAAACAACAAGAACAGCAAACAACAACAATCAACAGGGTTCAAACCCTAGCAGGGTTGTTGTTGTTGTTGTTCTTCTTCTTTCTTCTTCTTCTTCTTCTTCTTCTTCTTCTTCTTCTTCTTCTTCTTCTTCTTCTTCTTCTTCTTCTTCTTCTCCTTCTTCTTCTTCTTCTTCTTCTTCTTCTTCTCCTTGACGAGGCGACCTTGATGTCACAGGATTACCCCGCGGCGTGCCGCTCTATGACCACGGCGCGCTGAGCGGCGGTTTTAACGGTGGGGTATCAAGGAGGGCCCGTTCCGTAGTCCCTTTCATCCATCGCGCCTCTCGGCGTTTTGGGCGTTTTGGAGATGGCGCGCCGACCGGGCCTTGGCGGCCTGCGGTGAAAAGTTTGAGACGCGGGGGAAGCGCACCACCGGCACCGCGATGATTGATTAATGAAGGAAAAGTGGAGCAAAGGTCGCGGTGAGTGGGGATCTTGCATAGCTTATCGCGCGAGGAGAGACAGGCTGTCACTACCAAACAGATTGGTTGGTTGGTTGGTTGGTTGGTTGGTTGTTTGGTTGGTTGGCTGGTCGGTTGGTTCGTTCCTTCGTACATCCGTCCATTCATTCATTCATTCATTCATTCATTCATTCATTCATTCATTCATTCATTCATTCATTCATTCATTCATTCATTCATTCGTTCGTTCATTCATTCATTCATTCATTCACAGCCAGTGACCGAGTAATTCGGTCTGTGATTCGTCGATTCGCCCGGCCATTCTGTGCGCCCTTTACGGTCCATTGATACACTGATGTGGGGCATGACCTTGAGCCCCAATTAGCGAAAGAGAGACACAGAGAGAGAGACAACAGGTACATTGTGTCCTTGTCGCGGAATGTGTCGGGCGGCGGGTGTGCCACTTCACTCCCCCTCTCTCTCCGTCCGTTAGTCAGTCCGAGTCAGTCTGACCGGTTTGCCCCCCTCTCCGTCTTCGTCCGTCTTCGTCACACCGCCCCTGGCTTCCGGTAATGAGTGGGAGAGAGAGAGAGAGAGAGAGAGAGAGAGAGAGAGAGAGAGAGAGAGAGAGAGAGAGAGAGAGAGAGAGAGAGAGAGGTCCGGACTGGGCTCGTCTCCCCTTTCTCTGTCGGCTTCATCTTCATATTCCCCGACCGTCCTCGCGCAGGCTCGCCTAGGCTAGACGGCACGCCCGCTCGGCTCTGCTCGCCACTACTTGCCCGGCAGGGGGAGGGAAAATTCTGCCGCGAAGCACAAACTACCATTAAAATTAAAAATTGGACTATGGAGCTTGGACTATAGAGCTTGGACTATAGAGCTTGGACTATAGAGCTTGGACTATAGAGTTTGGACTATAGAGCTTGGACTTAACAGCTTGGACTATACAGCTTGGACTATACAGCTTGGACCATAGAGCTTGGACTATAGAGCTTGGACTACTGACCTTGGACTATTGACCTTGGACTATTGTCTCTGGGCTATTGACCTCGGACTATGTATGCATATATGGATATAGGATTAAGATCAATAATAAGATACCTCTAGGAAACTAAAGGTATCCGGGGGGGGGGGCGGACAACTGGGATGTCTAAATTCCCCAACAGGGTGCTTCGCTTCGCTCAGCAAAAAAAAAAAGTTTTCATTATTTTACAAAACATTGGGTTATAGAAAATGGTATCAGTGGAAGTAAAAGCTGCTTCTTCCGCTCTCGGTAATGAGGGAATCTTAAAAAGCGACGGTTAGAGGAAGAGAATCGTTTTCCCCGCCTGGCCGAGCGCAGGCCGAGACCGCCGCCGTCATCGCGTCGTCAGGCAGTCCGAGCTGTCCGAAGGACCGAAGCGGGGAGGCTGTTACCCGGCGACAAGCGCAGAAACCAGGCCAGGCTGCCTGCCCGCCTAGCGCGGCATTCCGATGTATAACTTGTGTTTGAGCGCGCTCAACGGCCTCAACGGCGCGGCGCGGGGCTTTCGACGATTGCGCGATTTCTCATATCGAGGGCTTAAGCTGGCGCGTATCCAGCGGCCACGAAACGCAGCGGGAATCAGGGACAAGCGGCGGACGGACGGGCATTAACAGCCCCACAGACGGACGGACAGACAGACAGACAGACAGACAGACAGACAGACAGACAGACAGACAGACAGACAGGCAGACATTCAGACAAACATACATACAGACAG